AGGATGATATAAATAAACAGCCTTATGGATAGCAGCGGTGGTGGTGGTGGCAGACAACTACACCGCCCAAATCGGCTATTGTTATTATCTCATGACGGCTTTCGCTGTAAAATTGACTGTTACACATGACATTGATCGGCGCAAGCCGCACTCAAGTTTGCAGAAATATTCTAGTATTTTTAAAGTTGATCTATAAGATAATTCGCATGATGCGAATAGCGGAGATCTGTTGCGCCAGAATTGTTTTAAAGGAAAAGTTTAGGGCTATCCGGATGCTTGACATCATATTAACGAAGGCGACCAGCCAACGGCAACCATCGCTTACGAAGAAAACTATTTTATTTATTTATTAAATCCTTGGTTATTGACGCTAGCTTCATTATTGTAGGCTTAGTGACGGCTTATGCTTTCAGAATGCTTGATTTTCTGCAACTCAATCATTCCAGGATAATAGCTGATAGCATGGTGTGGAGGAGATAAAAGTTTTGTTCAAGTTTTGTTGAGATATAGTAAAGTTGTATGAAAATTGGCTATTTGTTGCAGGTAATTCGCAAAGTTAGAGTTAAAATGTATCTTAGTTTTCCGTAGTCGCACTGGCAAAGTTCATCCTTCTAAACGAAATCTAATAACAAGGACCAGTAGACATGGGTTGTAATGTATACTCTAGTATTACACCAAGCGAGAGACGACGCCTTCATCATGTGACGTTTGTGATGAAAAATTACAGCGCTGCTACAATCGCGGAGATATCCCGTTAGACAAACATGTACGTTATTATGTGTTCAGTCGGTAGCAGTTTATCGTCGGTGAGCAGGTCACCAATCGGCCTTTTTCAGTCGGCAGGGGCTGAGCATATAGGGATGAGTGGCGTAATGGGTGCGAATTCCGCCCCGCCAATTCTTATGCAGAAATGAAAAAAAAAAACTATTGTCAAACCTTGCATGACCCCTTCGGGACACAGGCCCGGCACACGTCAGCAGCGCCGACTGACCTTGCAGGCAGACGCCTTGGCAATAGTTGGCTGATCGAGTAAGTTGCCGTTGTTGTCTAGAAGGAGCATATGACGGAACATATGACGACCCAACGCAAACGTTTTGACAGAGACGACTTGAAAAAAATATATATAGCGAGTAAGGGAGAAGTTGGGCTGGTACGGAGAGAAACGGGCATTCGTGTACTGAAGATTTTTCCGGCTGCGCTTGAGTGAGATTGTCGTAAATTGTCAACGAAACGTGAAACACGAGTAAGGCAAGTACGCAGGTTACACTTATATACGACGAGGTTTTGCATGAACATTTACAACTCTTTGCGCATAAATGACGTGATAGAAGTTCGCGCGTATACAAGTGTGACAAAAAAAAAAGAATACTTGAAAATACGACAGACTTAAGCATGGAACGAGAAATATTGTCGTCTGTCATCTGCATCTTCTTCCGTGTGTCGACGGCTTCCCGTGACTTTAGCATGCCTTCCACGGATTCTCTGTTGTACTGCCCATTTGGAGAGCGTTACGAAGTTGGCTATGAATGCACACGTAGTCCCGGTTGTATACATACGTTCTTACCCACTCCCCTGTGCCTCCGAAGTATTAGCACATTTCGCCAATAATATTGTAGCAGCGAGAAGGAAAATAAAAACGGAAGGACAGGTAGGTTAGCCACTTCTCAGACTAGCTGGCTACCCTGTGCTGAAGCAAGGGATAAGGAGAATAAAATATGATAGACTAGAGGAGTTACAAAAAGAAATGAAGAAAAAAAGAAAACAGAACAATGACACGTTACACGACCGCTTAAAGTCTGTCTTTGAGACTAGCACTGAGAACGTGTATGTATTTTTATGAGTAAAAGTTTTCACTTTATTTGTTTAGTACCGCAGGATAACGTTTCATTTTAAACGAGCATGCGGTTAAAATGAAGCTCGATAGTGACGCCGTCAGCATCATTCGGGACGGCGTCCCTGATATACATAGAACCTGTTGGGGTTCCTACGGGTGAAACCACGCATTCATCATTCACGCTTCCGTGACGAAAACAAGGAAAAATAGCGTCCCGAGCACGAGTTAGATGCAGTGAAGTGGAGCCAAGCGGCGAAGTCCAGACGAAGAGATGGCAAAGCAGTCAATAGAACGTGAACGTGGCATGGACTCGGGAAAGAAAAGGCAGTGGCTATATAACAGAACTCCGTCGCTGGGACGTTGCGCGTATCACATAATTTGCAATGTGAGTCTAAACAAGCGAAATGACAATGGGTGCAAAAAAAAAAAGAATGTTGTTGGGCATAGACATGCCACATTCTGCCAGTGGCACCATTAGATGTTGGTGCATCATTTACTTCACAATTCATAACCGCTGACGTACAATATCTTCAACTCAAGCTGTTTCTATTTTCCTTTTTCAGTAACCAGATATATCGTTTGCTAGTGTTTGCTGGCTGCCTTTTACTTTGACAAATGTAGCAATGGTCACAGTACTGGATGTTGTCATACTTCAGATCTATGTATATCAAGTATACTATACGTATAGGGAATCGATAGCAGATTTCTGCCACTGTGTATCGCGACTCATTGCGTAAAAAATGAGCTGATAAGGAGGCCAATTCTGAGCTCGAAACTGAATACGCACTCATCTGGCACGATGTCCTATGGAGTTAAGATTGTATCAGCTCTCAATGCCGTAGCCTACCTATTAGCACAAATCAGTGGATATACATATGTGGCAGCTTGTGTACTTCCGTATGACATTCTGAAAAATTCTAAAGAAAGAGTTGCTACTGATAACAAAAATAAACAGAAAATAGTGCTGCAGACAATTGTCATTTTTGTCGTCAAGATTAGCTTTAGTCAAAGAGCAGCGTAAGGCACTTGTTAATTGGCATTAGCGCACATGAAAAATGAGCATGTGTTAATGCCTCTTCAACAAGAAAAAATCATGCTTTTATTAGCAGATAATGATGAATATAACATTTCGAATAAAATGACAATTATGCCCTTCTAATTCTGTCGTAAGGAATTTGGGTAAACATTTGATCATATTTTCGTATATACCACAATATTCTGTATATATGTTATGAGTACTGTTTGCGAAAGTTTTCGATTACAGAGTGGACAGGACTCGGCACTCAGAAGATCGCTTTCCTCAAAATGATGATGATGCTGATGTGTAAAAAATGGCTCGTACCCACTCTGGGAGATCGGCCAAAAATTTATTATGCAATTTAGTGAGACTTTTTCAGTATTGAATATTGATAACCACAAGAAAAAAGCAACGCACGTAAAACGGAAAGAGTGCAATAATTGTTGTTCAGGCATACAGATCAGCCAGTATAGTCGTTATCTTGAACAGAAATGAGCGTAATTAAAAACTCGTTTTTACATTTTTCTTTTTGTCCTCAACTCGTGACTGATGCGCAATGCAGGGGATTGACCGAGTAGTAGGTTGGACGTGACGATGTCTAGGTGTATGACAAAATTTCTTCGTCACTTCACAATCATCTGGGCAGCATGTGAGCACAGGGTTTCGAATAAGTGTACAAGAAGTTGTGTAACTTTTCTTGCATTGAGGCAACGCAGTGTTACCAACATAACCACAGCATTATAGCCTTTCTAGTTCCATGGGAAAATAAGAAACCAAGAATAATATCAGTATAATTTTCCGGGGAAGGCTTTTTTTCTTGTTGGAACTGATTTCTCTATTATTTAACTGCTGGTGTCTTTGGGACTTTTCAGGAAAAGATAAAGGGGTCGAAAATATGCGCGTCGTGCACAGGACTTCTTGTTGGCGAGTCGTCAATTTAAATTCTTGTATAATCGCCTGATATCTGTTGCTGCAAACACAGCGAATGACTCTCGAGATGAGAATGTAAATGTGCTGGGGAATACGCATACGCAGAATAATATCATGCGGCACTCCGTATTGTTACTTCATTATTTTATAAATGTTATAAATATTTTACAATATTTTATAAAACCGTCTTTTAAGTGAAGCCACCGTAGTCAGCGACAAAAGGCTTTTAAACAAAACTCACAAACATAAATTAGCAAAAAGGTAGCAACAGAAATTGTTACTACATTTTTACTATTTTCTTTTTTTTTTTGACCAGTGTTTCGCTGCTAAATAAAAAAATCAAAGAAAAGAACGTAATGCCTCAGAATCGCTATAGTTACATTCTTTTATCGTGGCAACAACGTAAGAAATTGAATAACGGTTTATTATAGACATGTTCTTTCATGGTTTTCGTGGGTAGATGTATGTCTCAAACAGGTGACCTATAATCGATTTAACTTCTTTTTTTTTTATCCCGCGCCAGCGTATGAAGACCAGGAATGCCTGCGCGAGAAACTTTATGTTACGCTATTCATGTTACGTTGACGCTTTCGAGTCAAATAGTGCTATATAACGTATTATAGCAATTCAAGTAAACTGGCACACTTAGCTTTAGCATATGCAGAGCCATGCTGGCACTAACTCTTTTATACACGCATTGGCGTCTTCTAGTGTGAACAAAGCGCGCTAAGTACTAGGATTTCTCAAAGCATTTTTTAAAGGAGCTATTCAACGCCTCGTTATGTCCGTATGCGCCACAGTACCATATGAATGAAAACGCTGTGTTCGGTAAGTCACGTAACGCTGTTTACAGCATATGGTTGTGTACACCGACAAGAGTTCTGAACTTGAATCACAAAGACAATGTATAAGTGAGCTACTTCAACGAACACAACATTTTCAGTCTATAAGTGCTAATAAACTGGGCAATCAGCAAATGGAAACAGATTGTCATTTTTTTCACTTTTCTTCATACATGCTTTCTGGAAAAGACTGATGCAACACAGTTTTAAGCTCTTACTTTTTATATGAATTTGATATGAACTCTTTTCACGTGTGGCTTCTTCACCAGACGTGCTTCTGCTAGAAACAGGAGAAATAGACAACGCTTAAGCTCGAAATACTACCAACCTGCGCGCTGTATGTGAAGTGGGTAGACATAAAAACCGATAAACTCACTTCTGAGAGCCCATGGTTCAAGCCTTCGGATGGCCAGAACCCACTTGAATAGTGCGCCCATGCAATCTGGAGAGGAGCCGGCGCCAGTGGAGAAGCGGTATACGAGCGGCAGAGCCTCCTTGAAGATACGCTCGATGACAGCGCGCAGGTTCGACTCCAGGTCAAAGCCACCCTCGGGAGGAGCTTCCGTGGTTGTAGTCGCCGGCTCTCCGAACACTCCTTCCGGATGCTCCACGTCGGTCTCTTTCTGGTTCGCTTCTTGTGGACTGGCGCTACTCGAAGTCATTACCTCGACAGTAGTTCGCACGAGGGCCTCAGCCGGGTTTCGGAGCGCCGGGCCTTTAGACTCGGCATCGAGAATCTGGCTCGGGCTTCGGGACTCAGGTGATGATGCGGTTGGATCTCGGTTTGGCGGAGGGTCGGCGTTGGGACCCTCTGGAGCTCGGAACGTAAATAACGCTGTCGAATTGGCGTCACCACGATCCTTATGGTTGAGCGATGTGATGAGTTCGGAATGGAGAGACTTTCCTTCCGGGTTCTCGGCAGGCTGCAGTCCTGGAGCGGCCTTCAGGGAGGAAACTCCGGGGCCTCGTGTACTGGGGTCAGCTCCGGAGTCCTTCCGCGCCGCTGCCTCTGCCTGGGCGATCGGCCGCAGGAGCATGATCAGCAGCAGCAGTGGCCGGAGGAGCGGCTCGGCGCTGCGCAGGCGAGCCATGCCGTGGGAGCTTCTGTGGCAGCAGCGGTGTGGCAGCCGCTCTCTGGTCGGTAGTTCAGGTCGCGCAGGAAAGGGAAGTGGCTGCTGCCGCCGCCGCCTCCGGAGACGCCCGCCAGGCGAAGGTCGACGCGTTCACCTTTATCCGAGCTCTCTGCTCTCGCTTTCCGCGGCGATCGGCGACCCCGCGGGGCGTCACTGGGGGCTACGCTGAAAGTGAGCCACTAAAGGGCGACCGGCCGCTCCAGCGAGCCTTCCTACTTGTCAGCGCAGTGAACTCTGTTTGGGACATCCCGCGGTGGCGGAAGCTCTGAAAGATGCGCCGTAGGAACGTGAGGCGCGCTGCACGCATAGTGCAGAGCAGGCGCCTAATTAGCGCTTCATTTGCTTAGATGACGCGATAGTCATTTCCTTCAGTGGTCGTTGATAGTGGTTTGCATTTAAAGATAAACCTGTCAAAGGAAAGTAATATAAGCACAAAGCCGGTACTCTTATGCTGATGCTGTGATGATCCCGCGAAAAAAAAGGAAAACGGTTAATATCCCTAGGCTATCCACTGATGAAACAACACGTTTTGATGATGATGATGATAATGATGATGATGATGTGTGGGGTTTAACGTTCCAAAACCACCATATGAATATGAGAGACGCCGTTGTGAAGGGCTCCGGAAATTTAGACCACCTGGGGTGCACCCAAATCTGAGCACACGACAACCCGTTTTTATACACGTACAACGTACTAGAGGTATCGCTGATATAAGCTGCTTCTTTGTTCTTTATGGAACACGCGGCGACTTACTCATGCGCAGTCTAATTCTTATGCCTCAAATCTCTTTCCCTTTATAACGTTGTTGACACTTTCAGTTTTACAGTTCATTGACATATGCGCCAAGCCATCTCTCATTAGGTTTAGTTTATGCTCTCTAGTTTGTTCACTTATGCAGAACCCCGTCTGCCCAATGTACGAGTCACCACAAGAAAGGGTAATTTCATACACCACTTTGAAGGCACAATTGCCACACGTCGTGCCATGTTTCTTGCCACATTCATGCCATCTAGCCTCCTTCCTAGTAGTTATCGGACACAACTGAGCCAATTTAACGGGCACGGAAAATGCGATGAATACTTCATACCCGCCTGCTACGTTATGCAGGTTATGAGAGACCTTACACGAACATAATTAATCTGCAAGTCTTCTGGTCTAAGTTTTAGGGGCGAAGCTCCTTAAGCCGTGGGTCGTGCGTTCATGATGTATGTAGTAGGAATAGTAGTATTAGTAGTATTAGTTGTCGTAGTAGTAGTAGGTAGCCACCTCCACGGCCGGACTAGAAGAGCGGCACGCTGGCACTCTTTTGAAGTCAGGAAGAAACCCACGCACGTTCATCACTATTAAAAAAATGGCTGTTTTTGATGAAATAACCTACAGCGACGAGAATTCGTGACTTAATCTCCAATGAAATTTGCCTTGAATTTGATGCTTACTAAAAAAAATGGCCCAGTATCTGCAAGTTTTACGGCAACTATCGTTGGAAGACGATAGTCTGTGAGAGAGTGAAGAAAACGTTTATTTGATGTTCTGGGCGAGAAAATCAGTCAATGGTATTCTGGAGGTGCTGCGTTAGAGTGTCGCGACCCATGCAGTGACTGCGGTCGAGCGCATCGAGGCATGTTAGACACAAGCGCTATCAGGCAGTTTCTTCAAAAACTGAGGAAGGCGTGCGCGCCTGTCTTGGAGGCGATAAACTGTAGAACGCAAATTGACGGGCAGGTGCCACCATCATGTCGTCTTAGCAAAGCGTTAGAAACACTTGCCTTTTGGTGCATCGCGTTGCATTCGTGATAAACGCTACGGTCCTTGGAATTGCTTATGTATGCCTTCTCTATATAAATACACACAAACAAAATATTGACGTGTTGTTATGATGCCTCAGAATTGCGCAATAATTGCTTTTCAATTGACAATCGCACAAGTACGTACGCTGAAACTTTAGCAATAATGGTGGGTGCTGCGGATGGGGTTGGCCGTTTGGGGTATCGTTTGAGGACAGACAGACAGACAGACAGACAGACAGACAGACAGACAGACAGACAGACAGACAGACAGACCAACATTTTTGCGTCGAAGTACCCCCCCCCCCCCAATAAAAAAAGCTAGTAACAGGAGGACGCACTTTCAGCGCTATCGGACCAAAAAAGGTTGCCCGCGTTGAACTCGCTGAACGTAACCTCCTTGGATTTAGCAAGGTTTAGCGAAGGTTCAGCCGCAGTGCCATGAACAAGCGACGTTGAAAGGTGGGAAACAGACACGAAGCGCAGGCCGTAAAAGAGTATGCGCGTGCCTCTCCTCTAGTCCGGCCGTGCCACCTCTCGTTTACTCCTTGGAATGTTCGCTGAATGGCGGTATTTCTATATGACGAATATATGATGAAAATATGCGAGATGGCGGTAGTTGGAGTGTTCACTAGTTGTATGGACGGATAGACAGACGCAAGCATGGACGCACGCATGAACGGACAGACAGACAGACGGACGGACACAGGGACGCACAGACAGCCGCATGGATGGACGGACGCATGGGCGGATGTACGGATGGACACACAGACGGACGGACGCACAAACGAACGGACGCACGGACAAACAGAAGGACGAACGAACGGAAGCGCAGACGGACTGATGGATGCTTCACCTTACTCATCGTCATGCGCTACGTAGATATGCTGTGATTTCTTTTTCCTTGATCCCTGGTGGTGCCTCTAGTATCTTTATTCTTTGGTTCGCGTAAGGGCGCTTCGGAGGCTACTGTCAATAAGGAGTCAGAAAAATTCACAGCTTTAGGTCGTTCGACTTGATTACGAAATGACTCCTGCATCGTGTGCGTGCACGATTTTTCCAAAGAAGACCACAGGCAGAGCATAACAATACCTCGCTTGAGAATTTTATACTGTTAATAATTATGTGGCATTACTCTTTTATCGGCACGCAGAAATGTTGCCAATACGTTTGCCCGTTATCTAATATGCTCAAGTCTTAAAACTGCAGGGCGTTGCGTTGTGACATTTGAAGTGTAATAACAGTCATTTTCCGTAAATTTTTTAAACGTTTAAAACTTAATCGCAGTGCTTCAAGGAGCCTTGTCTGCTATTTTCGTATGATCCCTGCTTGTCTAAAACTACCAGCCAGTTGGTCCGGCGTGGGATGGAATAACTCTGATGGGCGAGAGAACGAGTACGGAGAGAGAGAGAGAGAGAGAGAGAGAGGGAGAACGAGAAAGAGAAATTCTTGCCAAAAACAAAAATTCTTGACTTCGCGGGATTCGTATTCGCGAACGCACAATCTGAAGGTGAACATCGTAACTACTCGGTTATCCAGGCACGCTAGCCGAGTATAGCATGCCTTGTATAGCAGAGTATATGAACGGCGGGGCGAATGGACGTGAGGGTAAAGAAGAGAGATTTGAGGGCGTTGAGGAGGGGAGTGAGTAAAGCATATCATAAAAACCAGCACAGGATTCACCCTGTGCTGGTTCCAGGTGTACTATTTTAACTACCGCACAGGTTAAATCAAGATCATGGATGTTAGTCGTCGGGATGGAGATGCGCCACTTGGCGTCAACGTTGGTGTGTCCACGTACTATGGTGCTGCAGCTGCCAAAAAAAGCAAATAGACATTGCGCATCGCACACCCATGTACAATAAACAGTCAACTATTGCTTCGGAGACGCGGTTCATTTTTGTGTGACGCAGGCTCCTGAAATGAAGGACAACCCATTCTTTTCTTCTCAGTGGTACTTCTTGTTGCAGGCATATGCACCAGGACTGCGTCTGTGATAGTATGATTGATACATGCATGGTGGTGGCTGTGTTCTTTCAAAGTATATCATGCCTGCATAGGCATGACTGAGAAGGCGAAGTGATTTTTAGATACAAAGCAAATGTGTAAGTTTTTTTTTTTTCACATCGGTGTCTGATGGGGTGACCACCACATGGACGAGGAAGGGCTGAACTTGTGGTGGAATGGGGCAGTATAAATTTGATTAACATGAACAGGATACACAAAACAGAAATTGTTTTAGAATATTTTACTGCACTGAGTGTTCGCAGATTTATTATAGCTTTGATGCGTACCTATATTCCCTTCAGCCGTGAATTATGATCCCTTGTCTACGAATGTGTCAAATTGGCATATCATAATTTTAAGGTATTGTTGTATTTCAAGAAAGTAAATGAAGCAATTCGTTGTTTTGTGTGAGTTTGAGTTATTGCGATTAGTGTGTAATATGATGAGAATAGCTTTAAGGATCGTGAGAAGTGCCACCCCTTAGGGTAACACTGTGGGGCACTTCTATATGCATAATTTGTCCGCAGTCAGCCACGTTACCTTCTGACATGAAAAGAATTAAATTAGTGGTTCTAAATGTGTGCGCAAGTAGGTTTTGGTTTCACTCAATTCGAAAAAAGAAAAGCAAGGTGACTTTGGTCCTGAAGTGAGGCACATCGAATGACCGGTCGAACATCGCAGTACCTTACCAAAGTGATCGATTACAGTCATACGCAGCACTTTGAAGTTATGTCAATGCATACTGACTATGGAAAAGGTTCAGTTCATCTAGTGCGCGATGTATACTGCTCCCGTTTCTCCACAGGTTCGCACTACTAGCACAAACGTAGCCACCGCCACTCAACGAGATAGAGAAAAATCAGTCCTTACGCTACCGGTTAAAGGGTTCACCATGTTTGCTACTCTGCAGTTCTTTATCAAGTGCAGTCTGTTAGGATGTGGCTTTGAATGCGGTAGGGTAGGCCATGCATGGGACCTCGTGCCACTGTTGTGTGAGGGGTTAACACTGAGAAATAGCCAACAGCCCTAACACTATACGCACAGGGAACGAAGAAAGTGCTCGATAAAAAGTAGAACGCTCTACAATACCCAATTGCGCCTATTTCATCTGGAAACGACTGCGCTACGCGCGTTAGACTGACCATGCGTGCAGCGGTTACTTGCTCGGCTAAGGCGCTGTTTGCGGACCTCAGGCAATTGAATCCTTTCAGCCTCACAGCAATAGGGC